TATAATAGCCAATGTTGTTGTACAAAAGATATATAATGGACACTGGTCTCTTATTAGTATATACTTACATCGTTAAAAATCAGTTACATTTGAAATCATCTGTGCTGGTTATTCTATATATTCGACATATCTATTTATTGGACTTGATGATTAAAAAAAAAGGCTCATTTTATAAATCAGTGAATTTATTTATGCTACAAACGATATGATGATACGATGGGTCACTAGAAAAAAAGAAAACTCACGTAAACATTTCTGTCTAAACTAGATGATAAATCATAAATTTAAATAAACATAAAAGTACGTAAGCTATTCATTGTTGAATATAATCAATTACCTTTTATTAAAAAAATATAGACACTTTCTAGTTTTTTTTTTTTTATTTGGAAAGACTTTACTCTGTTGAAAGTTTGGGAGGAGTTCTTGTGCTAAGCACTGTGATATACTAAATAATATACATAAAACTTACATTTTCTTTGATGATACAACATAGAGGGAAAAGTGAACAAATTACGCTGAAAAGAACGTAAACACTGGAAGCCGCTCACGTTTGTTGATTTAAGACAGTAACAGCATTGCGGGTTATTTGATCACGTTGTTTTCTCCTGCGCTGCTGTAGTCCAGCTGTTTGAAGAAGGGAGTAAAGGTTCTGTCGTCCAAAGATTGCGAAACATTAGTACGATTCGTACTAGTTGTAGTGGTTAAAACTGTTTTAGCACCAAACGACATACCTGGAACTAAAATACAGCGGATATTTAAATGAGCAGATATTTGATCAGAATTGTTCTTGTTGTTAAAATTTACTTTTATCAGATATTAAGCCATATACGCACCCCTCACTGTTCATGATTCGCTGTAAAATTACTAAACATTTTATTCTGCAGTTATATAATTTTTATAAGACTTATTTTAAGAAAAGTACCGGTATATTGGTTTTATGACACACTTTCATTGTTGTGTTCTGCTTTAATTATATTGCTTGGTTATTGAATGAAAAGTCCTAAAATGATGGTTAATTCATCAAGCTTATTTGGTTTTCATCAGTGAGTAAATTTTTATTTTTAATGACGATGGATACTAAAGTACTATTTGAAAAATAAATATTGGACAATAAACAGAAATGTTGAAATTCTATTACCATGCATTCAATGACTATAAAATCTTAATAGTAGTTTACGCAACGATTGACGCGAGTTGCGTACACTACTTTACCTACGACCGTTTTTTAATTACTATCAATCTGGATTTAATTACTAACAATAACTACTGATAACTTTTTAGAGAGGTTATGTTTTCGTGTATTGTCATTGCCACTGAAAGTGATGCAACGACTTGTTGTATAATCAGCTGATTTCCTGTAATTACGTGTTTGTTAAAATTCATTAAATATTACATTGCTAGCAGGATTCTTACCATAAATAATATTGTATCAGGTACAATTCGGCAAATATTTCATTTATTTTTGGACTTCCACCAACTTAATTAAGAATACGCGAGTATCAACATGAACAAGTCGGATCAACAATTAAATTGGTCAACTGATCAGCCGATCAGCTGATTAGTTGACGTTCGAAGCATTACAATTTTAATTCTTTTCTCTCAATACTTGAACCTCATTGGTCCGTTACCTGTGTGGATATGAGAAAACTATGCGGATATGAAATGAAACTATGCGGATATGAAAGTAAACAGCTGTAAAGTGAAACTTTTCAATTCTAAGAACTGGACTGAAATGGCTACTTTAAAAAACGGTCGTAGGTAAATAATATTATAAAATTAATTTCTAAATAAAAAAAAACTTTAAAACCGGAACAAGAGTGATAACAGGAGACTTTTCAGATTAATGACCATGTGGCAAAACATGAACGTGGAGAGTTTTTGCGGCTTGATCCAGTTGTCACTGGTTCTCTAAACAATATTCACATTAGCGAATGTTTTACATTACTACATTGGTTACTTTGACTTTCATTATTCAACACAGAATATAAATAATCATAAAAACCATGATCATGCAGTTAAATTCGTACAATGTTTCTATATTTTTCTAATAAATGTAAAAATGTTCAGATGATGACAGAGGCAGACACCAATGCAAATTACATTATAATAAGAGTACATTATATGTCAAAAAAGGATTTTTTTATATTTCCATTGAACTCTTCCTTTCAAGTTACCAAACATAATATTAAAAATTCTAACTTTTTAAATTCAGGTCTTAAAGCCTGAAAAACCTATCTTTAGAGTTAGTTGAAAAAATTAAGTACCCAGATTTTAACGAACAAAAAGTAACTAACATAGTAAAAATAACCACAATTTAAAAATCGTGTTAAATAAAATAATATGTATACAATTAATTGTTAAAAATTACCCCAAAAGGAATCAAAACTTGGGTAAGGAAAGCTAATTTTTGGGTGTAAGAGAAAAAAAGGAGAATTGAGGTTTACAGTGTCATGAGCTGGAAACCCCAGACCACTGGCGTGGTTAAATTAGCATTTTATTCTCGTTAACATTATATTTATTTATAGCTATAATAAATAGTTATAAATATTTATAAGTATTAGGAATATTTATAAATATTTTAAATATTTAACAGTAAAATTCCTTTTTACGATTTTATTTTATTGCTATATTCATAGTTTTCATAGAAACAAGTGATATTGTGGTTAATATTTCAATAGTTACTGCAAGCTACTTTTATCTCATTGAAGAATTATAATGTCTGTTTGTTTGATGATTTTATTTAATGTTTTAATTCATGTTATTTACAATGGTCTTGCTGGATACAAAAGGATTTATTGACCACCGTTTTTGTGGTTGGTGCAAGTAATATAACTCATGTAATACCACTTATAATTTTAAAATGTGGGAATACTTCCACAGTACATGTAACCTTTATTCTATCACTCATTACAATCAACGTGTTGATAAAACGTGAATCAATAGTATGCAGTTTGCACGGTAGTTTTCACAGAGATCATTTGTACAAACATTTACACATTAGAGATTCAGCCAAGTCAACCTCAAACAAACTATTGTTGTGGTTCTGTTACCACAAAATAACACGACTTATCACATATTACTTATACCAACGTCAATACGTAAACGTGGTAGTGAGTCAACCTCAACCAAACTATTGTTGTGGTTCTGTTGACATGTATTTTTTTATTGCATATTACTTACCTTTACTGTACGACTTATAACATATTACTTATACCATAGACAAATAGAATAAATATAGACTGAAAAGGAAGGTTCCGGTGCCCACCACTAAGTTTGCCGTGTAGTTACGGCACACACCGCTGCAGGCGAGGAGCGCAGGAGCCGTATGTGACCAGCAGACGCTGAAGTGGTGTGCGCCGTAACTACATGGCTAACCTAGCGGTGGACGCCAGAACTTGTGCTAACCGCAGCACAGCTTCAGGTCTATATTTATTTAATTTGTCTATGCTTATACCAACGTCAATACATAAACGGGGTAGTTAGTCAACCTCAACTAAACTATTGTTGTGGTTCTGTTACCACAATATAATATTACTTGGGTGATGTTTTCTATTTTGTGTGTTTGCTTCATATAAACGCAATTATTATTTCATTTATTAACAGTCTTAAACACTTCAGTCTGACTGCTCTAAACTACCACGGATTAACTTAATAAGATATCAAAATTTTTTTCAGTCAACTTTTTTTCAATAATACTAACATAGGGGGCGCCATTTACTTGGGCCTAAGGCAGCCTGCGATGTCGTTGGTTCGGATACCTGCCACTACTTTTATCAGTATAGTCATAGACAAAAAGAATGGTATAGTTCACCCTTGTACTATACCGGCTCACCAGCTAAAACAGGCTTAAACCTTACATAATAAATCAAGCGATAAATATTTTCAATTGATACCATTATCACAATCGAAATTTACTACTGTTTACAACAGCTGATTTTTACTCCCAAGGGTCCAAAAAGGCTTTTTACTCCCTAAAGTCCAAAAAGGCTTTTTACTACCTAGGCACTAAAAGGCTTTTTACTCCAAAGGGACTAAAAGGCTTTTTTACTCCCTAGGGACTAAAAGGCTTTTTACTCCCTAGGGATTAAAAGGCTTTTTACTCCCTAGGGAGTAAAATACTACTTAGACTCGCAACGCATGTATAAAAACGGTGGTTTTTGCTGCGTATGACGAAAAAGAATAAAAATCCCTAGTTTACATTATCATAAACGTCATCTTTTGGTAGAAAATTTTTTTGAATACAATCACAACACAATAATCACACAAAACATTATAAAACTACTTGATGTGGTTAAAGTAAAAGCGAAAAAAAGTTAGTCCAAAGGACTAAAATACTACTCGTAATTTCTTTTAGACAGTACATTTTACACATCATTGATCAACATTTGTGTTCATAAATAAAAATAAAAAAATGTCAACTGCGTTCTATATAAGTTAGAAATAATATGAACAAGGGTGAACGTATACAAAACTGACTGTTCAGAGGAAATGGAGAAGATGATTACTTCTAAATTGACGACGATGCAACAGATCATTAAACTAACCACTCTTTTTGTCAGCCGCAGTGGTTTCACAAAGTATATTGATTTGATGATTCTAAAATATTGAAAACAAGCTGATTTTTATGCCCAACTATGGGTAATGTAAAGTAGTAAAGTTAATAATATATTGTATATACAAAAGAAACCCAAGTCATAGTTTGCAAAAACTTCTGTTCCATTAATGAGTTCTTGTCATGTGATCTGTGACCGTTCATATCTTTTAGGCTGAAATAGAATATAAGGGATAGCGATTTTAATATCGCTTGGGTTTTGCCATCTGAGTCGATCGTTGAGATCCCTAGTATTCACACTAAAATAATTGATATGTGTTGTGTATTGTAAGCTTATATTGAAATAAATAGATAAATTAATATATAGATGAAAAATGAGCCTTATTATGTTACTAGTTTATTTACACCAATTGAATCACATTTTTGAAAATAACATATGATTAAATAATTAAATGCATAGCATTTGAAGCATAGAGATACAACAGTTTCTTCCCCAATAAATTTGATTCATAAGTCCAGTCTTTTCCGTTGCTTTCTCGTTCTGGCTGATTTGCGAGGAACATCTGTTGAAGCATTGTCGGTTGTTGAAACATTCATCCAAAGTTGAACCGTAGACAATTATGTCGTCAAAGTAAGAGCTGAAACCTGGAAGGTCTTGTAGAACTTGTTCCATTACTTTTTGAAATATGCTGGGTGCAGTCTTGATTCCAAAAGACAATCTGTTGACTTTGTAAGTACCTTTATGGGTTGATATTGTTTGAACACAAGCACTTTCTTCATCGACACCTATGTGTAGGTAAGCTTTAAAGAGGTCGAGAGTACAGAAAAACTTGGCGTTTCTCAGTTTGTGGAGTGTTTCGTCGATCCTAGGAATCGGATAGTGTGAATCGTAGAGTTGAGGGTTGACTGTGACTTTAAAGTCTGCGCATAGCCTAAGTGTACCATCAGGCTTAGGCACTACAACTAAGGGTGAACCCCAGTCGCATGATTCGATTTTAGTAATGATTTTGTCTTGTTCGAGTTTGTCAAGATCATGTCCCACTCTATCCCGGAGTGCATACGGTAAAGGTCTAGGTTTGAAAAATACTGGTTTGGATTGAGGTCTTAACTTTAGAGAGCAGGTGACATTAGGAATATGTCCTATTTCTGGTGAAAATATTTCTGGAAATTTTGATTCTACTGCAGTAACTAGTTTGTCTGTGTCACTGGAAACTAAGTTTACATAAGTACCGGTATCTTTTGGTCTCTGGGTGTCAAGATCGTTCAAGTGGACTCCAAGTTGTCTTATCCAAGTCCTACCTAGTAGAGGGCTGTACATGTCAGGAACTACAAACAACTGCTGTGTAGATGAGCGTCCGTTGTATTCAACCTGAACATTAACTAAGCCTAAGGGTTGGAAAACCTCATTTGTGTAAGAACGAAACCTTATATTTGTATTCTGGATTGTGTTTTGAGGAAGATTAAGTCTATCAAATTGAGCCTTTGGTAGAAGGGTATGAGCTGCGCCTGAATCTACCTCGAACTTTTGTGGTTTCCCATTGATAAGAATAGTTGTGAAAAATTTTTCTGTGTCTGATGAATTGTAGTCAGATACATTGAGAATTTGAAGTTGCCCTATTCCATAAAGTGAGTTTAAGTCCTGTGAATCATTTGGAGTAGTACTTATTGTATTAACTGTAGGCCTGGATTTCTTAGAGAGTAGAGTTGATATACAGACCTTGGCTATGTGTCCATCCTTGTCACAGCTTTGGCAGTGAAGGCGTGATATGTTGGTTTTACATTCCCTGGACGTGTGATTTGCTTTACCACATCTTAAACACAGGTTTCCAATTCCAAGTGTTGCCAAATCAACCTTATTTCGTCTTGTGGAAGGGTGATTTAGTCTGTTGTTAGATCTGTTGTTGAGGTAGGCTGTCCTTCTTGGTGTATAATTCTGGTGTGTTGGTCTTGTCACTAATTTGTTGACTTCCGCCTGTGACGATGTTTGAGGACTAGAAAAGTTGTTCAGAGTTGCACTGTCTATTTTTGAAGCTTCAATTGCTATTGCCTTTTCTACGGCAATGTCAAATGTTAAGTCCTTGGTCTGGATTAATTGTTCTCTAATTGAAGAGTCATGAATTCCTCTGATAAACTGTGATCTTAAGAATAAGTCAGATACAGATGCTTCACATGATGTACAGGTAAGTTTGCAAGTTGCAATTTGTTTCCTAAGAGCTGTTACATAGTCTGTTATTGATTCATTTTGTGCCTGGATTCTGGATAAAAACTTATGCTGTTCTACAATTTCATTGGTTTTTGGAAAGTAATTGTCTAATAATTTTGTAATTTCATCATAGGTTTGCTCATTAATACTTTTTGGAGCTGAGAGTGAAGATAAAAGGTCATATGTTTTAGAACCTACACTATTGAGAAAAAGCTGGGCACAAATAGTTTTATCATCAAAAGCATTCTTTATCTTTAGGTAATTTTCAAATCTTTCTTTGTATAGTTGAAAAGTTTCTTTGTTTGAGTCAAATTGTTCGAAATTGGAAATTAATGTGATGTTGGATTGTTGAGTCTTTGACATACCTTGAATAGCTGAAGACAAGGTCTTGATTAATATTTCAAACTGTTCTTGGTTCATTTTGAAAAAAATATATAAAATAAACTTTAAAACAAATAGAAAACACGTTAGGCTCTCCTCGTCGCCATTTCTGTTGTGTATTGTAAGTTTATATTGAAATAAATAGATAAATTAATATATAGATGAAAAATGAGCCTTATTATGTTACTAGTTTATTTACACCAATTGAATCACATTTTTGAAAATAACATATGATTAAATAATTAAATGCATAGCATTTGAAGCATAGAGATACAACAATATGATAAACTCTTGCTTGATTTTCAAACCTAAAACTTCCCATTTAACGTCACACCCTTATTAATTGTCACATTTTGACGACGAAAACGACGATGGGAAACAAAAGAATATAATTTTAGCGGATACAAATTTGTAGATTGGCCAGGCTAAATCTGAATATTGTGGTAAATAATAAGGAAAATACATATAAAAAATAAAACACATTGATAGGTGACGTTTACTAGCGAAATCATACTACACAAGTCTTTACACATTCTTAATACAATTATACTGTCGTAAGTATGTCGTGTAATTTTAGGATTAACTGAGTACAACTGAGTACAATTTTAGAGACATAAATCATTTGTCCGCCGTAAGATTAATAATGGTAACGATGATCTTATCATGATCGACGTCAGTTATCAATATATTTCCACATTTTATTGACGTTACACTCAAGGGACCGTGTGTTCCAGAGTGATCAAAATTATGTGTACCGACTCATCAATACAATGATTCAATCACGTTCAAAATATATATAACTTCAGTAGATACAACTGCTGAACCCATGGGCAATTTACCATACAGTTTGTGGTTGGTTCCAAACAAAACTTGTTAAATTCTTTTTATATAAATGTTTTGTAATATTTTTCTTTATTTAGTAGAAATTCTGCGTTCAAGATGAATTATTAAATGTTAGAGTCGAATGTTAAAGTTATGGTTATATGTTAATAATATATTTATGAGTTTATGAGCCAAAAATGAGTCCAAAAATTAATTATTTTTGAAGGATTTTAGATTAAAATTATATATTTGATTCAGAATAACTCTATAGTTTAAATGTTCATGAGCTATAAAGTAGCCCGATATTTAAGAGATACTAGCTTAGGGTATTTTATGTATATTATAAAAGAAACGGTATTGATCATAGACATGTAAACATTATTATTATTATTATTATTATTATTTCTTTGTCATGAGAGCCGAAGCCCCCTGACTTCGTACCCGGTACCTATCGTGAGACATACCCGGGCCCCATGATGTAGGCCGAAGCTTACGCATCAACCTTTAGCACATCATGGGCGGATGACTTAAGGTCATCAGGCTCGCCGGCTGCCGAAGCAGACCCTTCGGAAAGAGGGTTGCCCCTCAATCCTAACCAGGGATTCCGGCTGCCTGTTTAAGCGTCACTCCATCTGGGTTCCACCAGGTACAAGCCCTAGAGGACCATAATGGAGCATTTAGTGCAAGCAACACTCGGGACCTATCTAATCCCTGACAGGCAGAACCCGCCATCATAGCCAGAAGGAAGGGGACCGTCAGCACGCTGACGGGGGAACCCCAACCTCCCATTTACACCACTACCCGATCGAGGCCTTACCCAGTTGCTGGGAAACCAGAGATAACCAGAGCGATAGATCCCCAGATACCCCTGGCGGGCTCGGACCCAGCACCCGATCTACTTCGTTTGCCCGTCAGACCCAACATCACTGCCAGGCCATCAGGGTTTCCCAAAAGGAGGCAGGTATAGAAGTGGGACCCGCCCGGATGAACCTATCCACCAGAGGTGGCGACACCCTTGACTCAATTGAGGTTCCGGGAAGAACCCCCCACACTCAAGATAACCATACCGTCCGTGCTCAGAAACAGGGATTGGTTTGCATAAGTGCCTACAAACCGTTACCCTCACACTGCGGAAAGTTACGTTGCCCTTGAGTGTCCCCGTGAGCTACGGGTACTTGCCCGTTTTCACCTCCAGGAAAGGTTACTTCCAAAGTCGAGGATTTGCCACACTGAATGCTGGTCGCACACAACAAGCAGGCCGAAACCCAAAGAACCACGGACACAGGTAGGTTAGAGAATATGATGCACTTCCATCTCTCCTAGAGCTAAACATCCCTCCATCCTGGATAAAGGAATGTCACTGGGACCCAATGCCCAGTCGTCCATGTCTGTGGCCTACTAGACATGTAAACATGACGTAATCGTCCGAAAATACACACATTAGTTATATTTAAGGGGAACTGTCAAAAACCGTCCAAAACAACTAGTTTAAGATTCCGGCCAGTTAAATCATTTGTATTTTGTTTATGGTCCATACCGTTTCCATTCTAATATTCGTGAATTATCCAACACAAGCTTAATTTAATACTCAAAATCCGAGGGAAGTTTGAAACTATCGTGCTGATATATTAGTTACAATGTGCCTTGGGCGACAAATTGTGTTGACTTAAGCTGCACAGCTTACCAAAGCTAATGTGAATTGAGCCATTGGTTTAGGTTTATATGGCATATAACTTAAAAAACAATGTCTATTGTTTACTATTTTCACGAAATTTCTGTGATGACACTTCAATGTTGTATTTCAGCATAGATAGATTATCATGAGGTTGCCTAAGAGAGATCATTTATCTATATATAAACCCAAAAGTACCCATGAACCTTTGAGAAAACTACTAGTCACACCCCCATAAACCATATACTTAAAATGTTCGTCATGACGAGAAACCTTGCGCAAAATTATCCATTCCATAAGTTGCCCTATAAGGTCGTAATTGCTTTCCAAAGGGAACTTTCCATTTGCCTAATGTTAAAAATACCTCAGCTGTTATTATTTGTTTGTATTCTGCTTTGTTTTTTCATCTTAACTTAACCAATCAATTAATACTAATGTAGTAAAATGGGGTGGAGCCCGTGGGTAACAGCTAGTTGGTTTTAATTCGGAGACTTATGTTTCAGTTCTTGCTTCATGTTTTTCCAAGACGATTGCTTTATTGTGACAGAATAACAGAGTGTATGTGTTTTCCAGATGTTAGACAGACAGATGCTACATTATACACATTTGAGTGTATAGTTCTAGAACGGTTTATAAGAGGTGAAATCCAGCATAACCAATCTATACAATTTATGTAGCGCAAGTTACACACACGAGCTTTTATGATTACATCTTTAATGTTAAAAAATAAATAATTTGCAGGTATATTTTTTAAATTAGATTAAACAGTTATTAGAATAATAAATCTTCTTATGTACAGAGATTGAATAGGTAGTAACGAAAAACTTAATTTTTATACACTAATTAATTATATGATTTACTCGATAAAACAGCATGTGAATAATGAGAAAAATAAACTAAAACATAAATTTTGTACATTTTAGACTAGTTTTCATAAATATAATACCATAAGAAATGTGATCAAGAGTGTAGTTCTTTTACAAAGTCTCGAAATGAAATCATTGACATCCAAACAAAACCTATTTAATATAAAATAAACCACTAAATGAATCTTACTAAACAACTTTTCTGATTATAATTATGATTTTCATCAGTCAACTATTGGGTTAAAACTTGGATTTTGAGTAACAATTGTAAATAATTTAAATCTCATTACTCATGCCAAATAATAACATGACGATTTCCTCAATTAATAATTTATATACACATAATATATACATATGCACATGTAAATACATAATTTATCAGCTCTAATTGTAGTCTGGCCAATTATATCTCAGTATAACGCAAACCATATTAGTGTGCTCGTTGGTGGAGTGATGTTCCAAACATAAAAGCAGGTTCGCTTCAAAGAGTTAATTGGTTTACCTTACCGTACCCTTAACGTTATAACGCTAAAACCTATTATTGTAACTATTATCTCTAACGCTGTGCAATGGCATATAATTTTTAAATAACTTCTTGATCAATATAAATAATGATTACATAATTCTTGATTAATATAATTTTGAAATACCATGTAAAAAACGTTTACATATACTAACTGATTAATTGGGATTTTATACTGTCATACTTCATATTACTTAAAAACCTGGCAAACAATAAAAAGCTATGGGTATTTTTCAAATATAGTAAATAAAATAATTATCAACGTTAGTGTCATTTAACTAGGATAAAAAATATCACCAACTTAAATATAAATAACATATTCGCGTTTTTTACTAAACCTTGGTTCAACTTTTATGGGATTTCCATACTATATTCGAGAAATAAAACAATAGTTGCACTGAAAAACAGGTATACACTGGAACAATGGTCGTATGCATTTGATTAAGACTCAAACAACATTAACAGGTTATTTTATCAACATGTTTTCTCGAGTCTTAGTACACTCCATTTATTGGTAAGCAATAAGTGCATAAAGTCGCTGTGGTTATGGTGCATAAGTGTTTCTTACGAAACATACTTGGGACATAAGTAGATCGTTAGGTGTGGTTCTTCGTTAATGTCACGTCTTTTATTTGTTAAAAGTGACATAATCATGCTGGGAACC